GCGGAAAACAATACAATGAAAACTTTTACTGCATTAGGTAAGACAGATGGTTATTGAACAAAATAAGAGAGAGAAACGTTCTCTTTAATCAAGTTTTCGACTATTTTTAACTGTGCAATTACCGAATATTTACTTCACAAGTAAAGGGTATATATTTGAACTTCTTTTGCAATAGTGGAAAGAATATTTTCTAAGCAAATGGATAAACTTAGACGAGTTAGAAGTTTTGTTAGTAAAATAAATCTGTTCGATGATGAAAAAGACATGTCTCTCATCGATCAATTACTTGCCACACGAATATTTCTCTTTCTTCTCACCATAACTCTCACTATCATCATTCTCTTTGCTACTTTTACTCTTCAAACTAATTCTATTACAATCCGTTCACCATCTCAAAGTGATTTTGAAAAACTTAATGAAAACTATCCAAGTACATTATCATGTTCATGTTCACAAACTTGGATTCGTTATGATCGATTTCTCTCATTCAATCCACAATATCATCCGATATGCACAAGTCAATTTATTAATCAATCATTCATTTCATCGATATCTAATATTAATATAAGCAATTACTATGAGTATGATTATCGTATTATTGCATCATCACAATTTCAAATTCTTGCGACACTTTGCCATACGAGTCAACAAATGATATCTGATTCATTAAATGAACTCTTCTCTCAATATCTGACTACAAGTGAAGTTATATCCAATGAAATATTCAATGCTCAGCTGGATTATCTTGTCGAACAGTTGAAATCTCAAAGTATTAATAATCAAAAACATACAAGTGATTTTCTCCAGTTAAGTATTTCTCAGAACGTCATTTATTCGGCACTTCAAACAAATTATGCAGTAGTATTTCGAGGTGTAAAACTCGGCTTTTACCTCGTTACAGAAGTATATTACTTCCAAAATAACGCTTGCATGTGTATTCGAAATCCCAATTGCAATGAGCAAGCGATTATTTATTGGCTGAAAAGTATCGAAGCAGTCTACGATTCTGCTGGTACTCTAATTTTTACTACGTATTCTGGGAGTAAACTTCTAACTATTCCTGGTATACGAGTGGGTTGTTTACCATATGACACGTTACTTCAGTCAACTCTTGAATGTTTCTATAATAAATCATGTATAGAGCAGATTCAAAAATACATTCCTGCTTTTTCGTTGGTTTCACCACTTTCGTCATCCCACTTTTCACCAAATACGATAGTTAACGATCTTCGTAGTGAATTATTTATTGAATCGTGGAATGAAATGAGAAATTTCACAGCTTACTTTCATGTTTGTGCCCCGCAATCGTGTACCTATTCGTATGATCGAAGATTTAACTTTCTACATGTCATGGTCACATTGATTGGTATTTTTGGTGGTTTAAAAATGATTTTATATTTTTCTGTACCATTTATCGTCAAAGTCATTCGACAAATCGAAAAGAAGAAATGTTTCTCGAAACAATCAGATCCAATCGAAACTGAACCACATTCACAGCAAAGTAAGTTGTATGTCGAGTATCCAATTCTCATCTTCCTCTTGTCAAACAGATCTACGAGATCGTTTGGTGCATTTAATATCTCAAATCAAGATGAAACTCATGACATTGAACCTTTTCCCGACGTTCGCCAATATTAAAGACGGGATTTATTCGACACGTGTTTATCTTTTCTGTCTTATCATTGCAATGATTATTTTAATATTTTACACATCAATGTCAATTCAAACTCGGAGTATAACTGTTTACCATCCATCATTAGATGAATATGACTATTTGTATGCTCAATATTCGTCAACATTAAAGTGTCCATGTTCTCGTCTCTCGGCGCCATATTCATCAATTATTCACCTAGAGCCCGAATATCATCAAGTATGTTCAAGTGATTTTATCAAAGGTGATGTTTGGCTGTTGTATTTTGTGCAAGGGAGCGGTGTATTGAGAGCCTACGATTTTCGCAGTATTGGTTTAAGGATATTTACTCTTCTTCAAACATTTTGTCAGATGGCGAACGAAACAGTGAGAAATCAATTAAATATATTCAATGACGTGCAGTTTGTTACTGCATATGTTCTATCAAGAAGTACATTTAACACACAAATCTCAACTTTGATACGACAATTTCAACAGCAGACTGTGAATTCTTTTCTTGTTATGTTCCAATTGGTCCGTATTTCAGTTCAGATGAATCAGTTTATGGTTGCCAGCAGTACAAACGCTTACTTGGCGATATTTAGCAAAAGTAATGAGTTGAAGTTTCGTTTTGTACCAAATAATGTACTTGACCAGCAATGTTCATGTGGTGAAAATAGTTCCTGTACGCGCTCTCAAGGTTTTTATTGCGTTGAGGGTCAATGTAAATATAATTTATCAACGCCACCACGCCAAGCCATTCCTGGCCTTGTGCTGAGCTGTTTACCGGTTGATTCGCTTCTTTCGTCCTCACTTCAGTGCTTTTACAATGCAACTTGTATACAAATGATCCTACAATGGCGTTTGTTTGGATTAAATATTAGTTCATCATATTCAAGTTTTAGTAACGTCACTCCTCTCGATTCAATGGTTCAGAGCCGCTTTTCACCTGAGACAAAATTGGAAAATGTTGTTTCCCAACTGTTTATTGAAGATTGGACAAACACAAGTAATTTCAGTTCGTATTATCATCAATGTGCACCGAATGAATGTACTTATACTTATGAAGAACGTTTTAATCGAGCGTACATCATTGCGACAATACTTGGTATTATTGGCGGTCTTTCTGTAGCTCTGGAAATCTTAGTTCCTCCTTTGATAATCTTACTCCGACGTATGTGTTCCAGCTGTCTCCGACATTCAACTCAAACTGCACGGAAGTTGACAGCTAAAACAAGTAAGAACTAATAGATCATGTTGAAAATCGTTTGAAACAATTTTTCTCTAGCTGTTCATCAAAAGTATTTGTTCTTTATTGGTTACATTCGGCGTTACTTTCATACATTGAATTTGTATAAAAAAAATAATCAAAGTTATTCTGATGATCAGCTGGAGCAACGCTGTCGAACAGCTACTCGATTTTATATTGTACTCTTTCTCATTTCTCTTGTGACAGTTATCATATTTACTATTTTCAGTTCACAAATCAATACGGTAATAGTACCATTTCCATCAAAAGAAACATTTCATCTCCTTCGGAGTCAGTACGAGTCAACCCTTTCATGTCCATGTTCACAAATTCGAGTTCCATATTCGAAATTTCTCACGATTAAACCAAATGAATATCATCAAATATGTTCAAGTTATTTCGTTTCCACTGATTTCATCAGCATGCTTTGGGGTCAGAAAGAATTTGTCTATTACTCTGTCAGTATCGATGGTAAAATTTTAAGTACAGAATTTCGTCTTTTATCAGCATTATGTTCTCTTGCAAAAGACATAACAGACCAAAAAATACAAATATTGTCTTCTCAAGAATTAATCACTGTGCAAACATTGTCACAAGAATCATTTCAAAATCAAGTTGATTCGATTATCAATACTTTCATTATTGAATCACCAGCAAGTTTTCGACGAACCTATCAATACATCAGTGATATACTTTATGGAAATCAATTTCAAAATATATTTCTGACAAATTGGAATTTAGGAACACCGACTCAACAGAATCGATATCGGATAGGAGGAAATCCAGTAATAGGATATGATGAGAATGGGCAATTATGTTCATGTGATACTCAACCAGCATGCACACAATCTGTTCTAATCAATGTATTCAATAAAGGAACATTTGATGGTTTGTATTCTTTACTATGATGATTTGTTCACTAATTAATCTTCTTATGTAGGTCTTGTTCGAGGTTGTTTACCTGTTTATGGTCTTCGCTTATCAACACTTGAATGTTTTTATCAACAAACATGTTTATCAAAACTGGCTGTCTTCGTCAATAGTTCATATATTCCATCACCTTTGAATAGATCGATTCCAACTCGTTTTACACCCGTTTCATCAACAAAAATAGGTACAATCATCGATGAATTATTCATTGAATCTTGGCACAACACAACTAATTATACAAATTATTATTCGATGTGTGCACCATCAACATGTCGATATTCTTATATGGAAAAGAACAGTGCTCTTTATATGTTAACTACTTGTCTTGGTTTATACGGTGGATTAACTGAAGGATTAAAGTTTCTTGTGTGGTATGGCTTATGTTTATATTGGAAAATTCGTCAATGGCTATTTCAACGGCGAAACATAGTAGTACCTGTCAATGACAATGCACAAATGTAATATGTATTGATTGTTATGTTAGGAATGTATCCAATTGTTCACTGACTGCCGCCCATAGGCGAAACATTTTGCTCAATAAAAGTTCTAAAGTTTTCGCTGTTTCGAATGGATTGACGAAACCATATCAGTCAGAGTAGTGTAGAGGTTTTAACTATTGTAACGTCTTATGGCTTCCGACAACCAACTACGAAAGTATACCGCACGAAGAATCTTGCTTAACTAATTCCTTGAGGTTGATTCGTGCTTCTTTCATACTGTGTAATGTAAGGCAGCGCTTGGATATGTGCCTAGTGACATGCCATATCTTCAGTACTGTCTTCACTTACGACTGTGTCTTTCTCGCCCACGTTCCCATCATGTTGGTCTGAATCATTTCAAATTGAATAGTTCGGATTAGTTTTGACGTCATCGTACTCTTTAACTTACTATAGCTTCTTATTGAATAACATGAAAATGTTGCTGTCACCAATCAATAGAGAAGATTTCAATCTAAATGTGATAAAAACACTGTGCTACTAAACTTATTTAAGGGAAATGGATAAAAATAAAGTCATTTTTCGAAAATTGTGATTTGAATTCATCGGTTAGATTCTATGCCGTCGACTTTGTTTTCTATATGTTACGCATCATGCGTCCTCTATCACACTCGTGCAAATGAAAACAAAACACTGAATCAAGCATGCATAAGAGGAGAGACAAGGACAACCAAAATGAAACCACTTCGAAGATATTCAAAGTGAGAAAGCATGCGTGTCATTGTATTATTGCTTTGTTCACTTAAAAAAATGTACATCATAATATTCAGATGTAAAACATAGACGAATGTGATCTGATCGAATGATTGTATATAACCTACTCTCATTCATGTGTATCCGGTGTCAAGAAATATGGCATCGAAATTGGTGAGATATCTAGATCAGCTTCATTAACATACAATCTATTTCAGACGTCGTTATCAATGGGCAATACCGTTCGATAAATAACTAAATGAACATGCTTTATAGGAAAAAAAAGAAAAGACTATTATGGATTGTATTTCTCGTCGGTGTATCAATGTTCGCACACCGAATAATCTTCGTTCAAAATACGAGCAGAACCTCACAAAGTGAATCCGATGCTACGAGAAACATACTTGTTACTGGTGGCTTAGGCCGATTGGGTAAATCAGTGTGTTCCAATTTGATTCTTGCTGGCTATTTCGTTATTGTTCTGGATGCTAATAGTGACACCGAACAATTCTTTGACGAATTGACATATAATGCTGTAGATCATGACCAAGTGAAAATCTTCATTGGTAATATTCAAAACCATTCGATTATTCATGCGATTCGAGCACAATATAAGCGAATACTCGGTGTAATTCATTTAGCGGGTATTGATCGTGAAGCTGAGTGTCAAGAGTTTAAAGAAGCTTGCTTTCGCAACAATGTAGAAAGCACACAACGTTTTCTAGAAGCTTTTCAGTTGACTTTCGGTGGCAACGAGAAAGATAGACCTTGGCTGATTTACTTTTCGTCATTCAACATCTGTACGCGTCAACTTAATTCGTATTTGGCCGAGTCAAAAATGAATGTCGAACGCGTGATACGAACATTTTCCCATTTATTTTCTTCAATCATTATTCTACGATCAGCTGAAGTCTACGGTCTCTTCGACGATTCCTCTGTTCGAATCATTCCATATTTTACTCGACAAGCCATGACGGACAATCCCATCTCATTAACAGAGCCAACGTTTGTTCGATACTTTATTTACGTTACAGATGCCATGCGTGTTTTGCTCGAATTGATTAGAATGACCACTGCAACTAGCCAATATCATCAGACATCTTCCATATCAACATATTGTCTTTGTGCATCGTCTATTGATCAGAAATCGTTACTATCGATTATTCTCAAAATGACCAGTTCACATGCTTTAGTTGGAACAGTGAAAGGAACGCAAAGCCTAGAATCAAAGCGTCTATACACTGATGGAACAATTTCTCCGAACTTTGCACACCTTTTCCAATATAAAAGCATTGCAAAAGGTCTTTGGCAGTATATCGGTGATATTAAAAGAAGAGATTTGCGCTTTGCGCAAGATCTTCTCCGCAATGAATGCTTGAAAAATCTTGTAGAGGCGTCAGATTTTAACAATTGTACAATGTTGATCTATACCAATAGTAATAAACATTCCATGATCACTTGTCGTAATGAAACTCCATGGCATACAACCAGTAAATTTTCCCCTGACTTTCGATTCGTTTCTGCTAATGTTAAGAACGTTCGTGGCATGTCAGGGTATTACATTCAATGTCACTCAGTCGGCTCTTCATTTCTTCGCGTTGTAAACCAGACTGTGACAAAATCAACTGACAAAAGCCTCTTCTTCTTTTCTTATATGCCAGAAAATCGGTCGGTCGCACTACTCACTTATATAGAGAAGAAGACTGATGAACTGTTCTCGGTACAACTGAACGGTTCTTTGAAGCAATGGGACGGCTTTGAACATCTATATTATCTCTCGCCGTACTGCTGTGAAGGGAGAACTGACTTACCTCTATTACAAGCGGACCATCTTCTTCAGAAACAGAGGGAATTGTCTTGGTACGATGGGATAAAAAATTCCAGCACTAATAAGTGTCATCGCTTAAAAATGTTTATCGATCAAGAAATAACGGCGAGTGGAAACCGCACTTCATGGAAGCAAGTACTTTACGCGTCGTTCGTGAAAGAGAGTTTACCCGTTGATGCAGATAGACCGCTATGCGACAGAAATTGTTCACTATTCACAGGATGTATTCTCTTCGACAACTGTCGTTGCGTTGCTGATCGATGCTCTAGAAAGCATCGCAATACGCGTGAGTTGATTTCTCAATACAAATTCAAATCAATCGATCAAATAAACTTTGCTCAGCTACCTTTCGAAACGGTACTCCAGCATCGTTCGAAGCCCTTTTACCACTATTTGAATCTGCCACGAATTCACGTACTTGATGTGCCATCAACGCTTGTTCCATACTACAATGACTCCAACCGCGATCATTTGCACGAAAAGCATTGTTTCAACGTTGATGACATCATTCTGCGAGGGCTGAAAAACATCACAACGCCTATATCCATTGCCGAACTTATCGTGGTTCCTTTCTTCCACGGATTCTACGTGCATTACAAGTCTATGTATTACTGGAGACAAATATACTTAATTCAACAGTTAAAAGCATTGGTAAATGACACTTTGGCTGCAATTAACTCCACAGCAAAAACTGTATTTGTTCTTTCGCATGATTCCGGTGGATGCATCGGATTTGCCTGGGATCACTTGGAACTTCTTCTCTCCTCGTACAACTATCAACCTGCCGCATTATTCGACTCCTATTTACTTCAACCCAATGGCGATTACAACACACATTGCTACTATCCACATAAAGACATTGTCATTCCGCCTTTCACGTGTCTAACTCGCGATCTTTTAAATGCATTTCACGATCTCCATCATATCAAACCTATCTTGCATCGACGAGTGTTCGCTTTTTTCAAAGGAACCATATGGGGAAATGGTTTGACAACGCGAGCTCGTCTATCCTGTCCTAATTTATGGAAGCATACTTGGAATCAAACAACACACGGCATTACTCTAATTCAAAGCTATTACAACAATTCGGATTATCTGACGACACTAAACGAAACACGATTCTGTCTGATAGTACCGGGTACGGTAGGATGGTCTCCAAGATTTGTCGATGTGATCTACGCCGGATGTATACCTGTATTAATAAGTTCAAATACCCGTTACCCATTCGAAGACATTCTGGATTACACAACATTTTCCATCCACGTGTCCGAAGAGCGTCTCGATACACTCGAAGAAGAACTTCTCAGTTATAATGCGAACGAATTACTAGCTAGACAGAGAAATGTATTAAAAGTACGAACTGCATTCCTATTCGAGAATTACAGGAGTCCAGCCGAACATTTATATGATAAAAATGATCCTCTATTTTTCATGCTGCTTAGTCTGCGTTTGAGATTGAACTTGAAAATGATCCAATAATAGTTCCGCTTCTATTTCCCAGTAACATTAGATGAGATCTATCGAGTGGCCATACATTGCAGAATCAAGAAAAGGGTATGATCATTCGTGCATCTTCCCAACACAATCAATATAAAAACATAAAACATTTATTTTCATGTTTGTCTTGTCTCTGGTCGAAATAAATGAAACGTATGATATTTTTAGGCTATTTCTCTCCATTCCTATCATTTCGGCTAATATTTTTACTGCAAATAAACGCTCAGTTACTCGATCGATCCTCGAAATTTCAGCTATACGGAATGAGATGCTATACTCATATAAAAAATATACTGTTTTTGTTTATTTATATATGATTCGCATTGCTATTCAGATTTTGCATGAAACTGAACCAACTAGTACATGGTACTGCAGACAGAGCATCGGTAAGTCATAGAACACAATGTAACTTAGTGGATTTATTAATAAACGTGTTTCACAATAATGTGAAAGTGTTTGTATACTTCGTTTTGAATATATTTAATCACATTTTAAACGTATCCGATCATTTATATATCGAACAAAGATAACAATCTAGGGGGAATATGTCATTTAAAGATCTCTAATGAAACATAATAATATAATAAATCAGATTCCTTTTTTCGTATGATATTACGTGAGGAAGTACATTCAACCTTTATTCATGCGCATTTGAACAGATCCTATGACTCTTTGTTGTGCTAGAAAACATGTAAAGATCGACAACGCTGTCTGCCATTTTCGGCCAGTACACTAATTGATTGACTGACTACCGCACACATACTCTCATTTGAACATGCAACAAACGGGTACTCCTTCGCATTTGTAGGTGATTAACTATCATGTACTTCCAAGGTAGAAGTATTGAAATTTTTATTTCTGTGATATCGTCTGAAGATAAGCGCAGTACCGATAGAACTCAAAATTCTTCAAGTCTATTTGAAAATACCTGTGGATCGTTGTCGATGTTTTTGTGATGCATTCTGCGTGACCGCGTTATTTAGATTTAATGTGGAAAAGGACAAGTTTTTTTATAACGACTATAGATAGTCACTGCTGCTCTTAAAAAATCAATAAAATAGTAATTGTACGATTTTTTGTCATTTTATTGAAGAACTAACATGAAATTGAACGAGGAGAACGTGTGAGATAAATAAGTAAAAGAAGTATTCGTCGACGAAAAGTTATTGTCATAATGCTTATGAATGCAAAAGTTCTTTCTTTTTGATTGTGGCTATTTGATTCTTTGATTGATCAGTTTTTCCTAAACAAAAATAATGCATTCACTCAATAGAACTGTTTGAAACACTGCGTTAATGTAACATACTCTTCTTGGCAAAAATAACCTTCATATCGTCCACGGCCATCAACAACACGATTACAAGTAAAGCCTTCACAGCAATGATCCACACCACTATAACAACTTTCACCACCAGGAATACAACCGCAATAACCAAGGTCCCGGACACTATTAGGACCGCGGCGACATATGTCATTGTTACAACAACGAACCACATCATCACGAACAAAACGTGCGACACATACTTGACCACGAGGAACACATCCACAAGTGCCATGACTATCAGCTTTTCTTTTTTCAATAACATCCTCAGAGAAACCGCTACCCTCAGTATCATAAGAAGTAGCAGCACGAAGACAAGGATTACAACAGCCGGCCTTGTTAGAGGAAGCAAGACTGGTATTACACGGTTGACCGTCAGCGAGACAACTATCGGCCTTTACCAAAAAGCTCGTTCCAACCAGCATAAGTACAACAATCGAGGAGATCGCCATCATCGTTGTAGACATAATTTATAACGTCAAATAGTGCGTAGACAAAACTAATGAATGGTATGACCATACAGTTCTGCTTTGACTTTTATATATACTAGTTGTCGACAAGGATTGTATATCTGCTGCGCAGAAAGGCAAAGAGCTATTCTGGCTCGCATGGAGGTAAAATGGTTTTTGTTTTTGTTTACATCATGAAGAACGTCAATTATTCTTTGTTCTAATATATACCTGCTCATACTTTTCTCAACAAAAAATAAACCTCAAATGCACTCTTACATTAGAAGCACTGTTTAACTCTAAAATGGAATAGATATACTTACAGACGGACAGTAATGTAACGCTCTTTTGCTTTTCTTTTTTGGAAAAATACATTCATAACAAACGAAGAAAGGATCGACTATGTTTAATTGGTGACCCATGCAAAGAGAGATGCGGTGTAATTAGTTATAAATAGGACATTTCCTTTTATGACTCTAGATTGTACAGTATTGACTGTAAATCTACCTTTTAATCCGACATACAACGAACGCACTCATTCCCCCCACGTGGTATATTTGAGAAGCATCGTCCGAAGATTATTTTTCTCTTCGCTATACATCATATAGACGTCAGCATCATATGATAAATCGTTTTCTCCATTGTCAAACTTGTACAAAGAGCAGGTCTATTTTGATTCATTGCTGTTGTTTCTAAACTTAATTGTGATTGTTTATGATGAAAGAATGACAAACAAATAAAATTCAGTCTACGCGTTTCGAAGATTTTTCTCAATTCGATAATCAGATCTTCAACGACTTACAAAAGACGAAACGGAGGCGAAGTTATCATTTTATGTTTTCATCAGAATTGATTTTATCTTGACTATACAATTTTTAGCTTTCAGTCTTTGAACACTGTAAAGATCACGAACGCTACAGCGTTGGTTTGAGACTATTGATTAATGACGCAATGTCGTAGTATACAAGTTGATTTTCTCTTTATCTTCGTTCCTACGATGAATCGATAATAGTATTTCGTATTCAGTCTCAGATATCGAAAACAAATTATGAATTTTTTCTTTGGAATATCTTGTATATTTGAAATCAAGGAAAAATCTCTAAGCACATTCGATAAAGAATGAAAAAGATTGTCTAGACTTGTTTTCTTTTCAGTTCAAATGGAATTGTTGTAGGTCGCGATGGAAATAATTCATAAATATTTTCAATGGAATATGTATCATCCATTTGTGATTCTCCGTCATCGGTTAAAGCAAATAATTCGTATATAGGATAATCTTCTTGACATACATGAAAGTGATCTAATGCTTCTTTGATAATTACTTCGACTAATGTATCCGAAGAACAAGGTAATTCAATTATTCGCTCACCAAATTTGATTGAAGAATGAATCGTTGGTTTGGGTTCCAGTTGTAATTCAATCTCCTTCACTGCAGAATTAATCTCATTTAGAGTGATATCCTCATCATCGAGTGTACAACCAGACTCTTTTAGTACATAATATTTACCGTTCAAAGTAAATAACTGACAAGCAATTGACTGTAAACGTCCAACATTGATTGTTAACGAGCAATGAAACTGAATTGTTTGTTGATTTTCTTTATTCTGAATAGTAACCTTGAATGGTAAATTCTGATCGAATAAAGCAAATTCAATTGTCGAGTTTGATCGTGGAAATAAGAATAATTGTGTATCAATTGATGGAACAAAATCATTTGAATAAAGACAATACTGACGATCGATGTCAAGTTGATTTTCTTGATAAATATCGCGAATTTGAGCATAGATTGTAAACCTTTGGTGTATCGCATTTTGTTCGTCATCTAAATCAAGTAACTGATTTGTTTTTGATTTTTTAACTGATATGAAACATGTTTCGTTTTCTTTCACTAGAAGAAACTTTGTTTCATGTAAATTTGAAAGTTTTTCACAATTATCGATAATCTTCTTCGTGGAATTCGAAGCTAAATACTTATAAACATTCGCTGGAACATTATCTATCGATTGAAATATATGTTCCATCGTCACATTTCGACTTGGAAGAAGAAGAGAACTCGGTTCGGAGTTATCATATCGAAGGATTTGTATCATAATCGATATGCGGAAATGAACAGATCGATCTTCAGCTGATAAATAGGCCGTTAAAGGCTGTCGAATATCTTCTTGAGAGAGAACTTGTTCATTTGTTTCGCCTAAGACAAGAACACAATCGTTTGGAGAAATATCAATTAGATTTAATCGTCGAAGAAGATTTTCATTGTTTAGTAAATGAGAAATTCTCGATGATTTTAATGTATTTATAGATACACTGTTATTCTCATAGGTGAATGTCACTTTGGTTGTACTGTTTCGACTGATTCCATCGATAATTGTTGGTTGTAGTTGTTCGATTGTGGAAGAAATGGATTGTTCATCATCAAGAATGATCTGTTGTTCTCTGCTAAGAAAAGCATATTCACTCGGAGGATCAGTGATATCCGTGAAACGCTTCAACCATTCGTTGACGTGGTTCCAATTTGCATCCGAACGGAAGAGACCGATTCGTTCTTGATCTACTCAAATAAGCAAAGATATGAGGTAGAAGAAGAAGATTTTCATATAAAATTTACTTTGTTCTGTTCGTAGAGTGACTTGAGAAAGTGATTTCGTGTTCAAGTTCTCTTCAATGACGATAATTGGGATTGTTTTGGTTTCGGGATTTTTCAGTCGTTTACTTAGGTCAGCGATTGTTTCGTTTTCAATGCTTTTTCCTTGTTCATCAAAAAAGCAGAGATAAATTCCTTCGGACGAAGGTTCTATATTTTGATCAGCAATAAATCGATTGATTATAACTGAAATATCACCATCGGATGTCATAAAATAGTCAAATTGATTCTCTCGAAACTGAAATTGAACTGTAAACAGCGAGTCTTTGCGAATAATCCGATATTCCTGACAAATCTGTTTTGGCAATTGACAACTATCGTTAGAAAAATCCAGGAAAATCTTGTTTTGATCGATAACACCCAGCAGATTCTCATCGAGTTTTTCTTGCTTGAAAAATTCGCGTAGTTTTTGACATAGATTTTCACTTCTCCATAACCTCGCAGCTGCTTTTTCATTTAGATCAGTCACCGTAAATCTCAACCCTTTTTTCAAATCGGTCGCTGTTGGTTGTTCATTCTGATCGTGAATTTTCTCAAACAACTTCGATGTCGAAAGCGGTACTAATGCAACAGTTAATTCAAACAGAGAGAAAGATTCGAAAGTTTCTTCGAGGAGATTTGGCAAAGGTCTTGGATGTGCCGGTTCAGGTCGATGTTCACCATTCGTAGAGTTCGACATGAATTCAGCGGTTGGGTCTACGTCAGTAGGATCGATATTCGGCCATTCAAACGGTTCGGGATCGATTGGGGTAGGCGGTGGTTCATCGGGTTCTGTTGATTGGTTAAGATATTCACGGAAACGATTTGGTTGTTGTTCAACAGAATCGCTGATCATACTTTCATTCCACTGTTTGCTTTCTTTTTCCTCGATATTAACCGTCCTTTCTTGCAGAGTACTTCTCATTCGAATCAAATAGATGCAAAGTGGAACATAGTTTTCACATTTGATACCAGCGGAAACATAATTCAAAACTGTATTTTTAATCGATAAGAGTTCACAAGTTTCTGTTAATGACTCTGCCCATTGTCTTTGAAGAAAATATTCGTTGTCTCGCAGATCATTCAATAAATCAGTAACTGTTTGAATCGTTGATTTAATTTCATCGATACTATCCACACTAATCACTACAGCTTGTAACATTCTACCAAGTTCAATTTCAAGTTCGATTGGAATCGGTGTTCGTAAGATTTGAGAAACATCAGTGAACAAATGTTGAAAATCACAAATTGAATTTGCATATAACTGACGGATATGATCGAAATAACATAATTGAAAGTCTTTGATTTCATTCTGATGAATTTGTTCGTAAAACTTCTTCTCATGATCAAATGTTTGAATAAATTCATAGAGATACATTTGAGAGACATTTTCTTGTTGATGATGCAATTTAATTGCAATTTGTCTGAGAAGATTATGACCATGATAAAGTTTGTCTAAATACATTTCTTTCAAATAACTCCAATTATTTTCTAATTGTTGATCACTTAACTGAGCACAATAATCTTTATCTAAATCGAATACTTCATTCGTAGTATTTTGTTGTGTTCGTCGAATATGACATTGATAATTTTGAATGATATGTTCATAATTAATACGACAAAGTAGAAGATATGTTCGAATAATATAGGATTGTAAATAGAGAAAATCAAAATTCAGTGGAGTATCTATTTGTTGAAAATATTCATTGGTTTCAGTAATCAATGTTGCACGTGATAATTGTTCAAGCCATGAACAATTTTGATCAGTTAATGTTATAACACCGGTATTGTCACGAACGATCTGTACAATCGAAACTTCTTTTGATGTTAAATTATTGATTAGTTTTTGCAATGCTCCAACTACATGAGTATTCGCATCATTGTTAACTTCTTGTTCCAATAGTTTCAACAGACTATTGTGATAATCGATTAAGACTCTAGAAAATGACTTTTTATAATTTAAATTGAAAAAAACAAACAAAAAAATATCTCATCTCAATTGAATATTGGAATTCAACCTTTGAATTTGACTCTGAAATCGTCTGAATTGATTGTACTACATACCTGAGTATTCTCATGACAATATCTCCTTCATCGAGACTTCCTGTAGTTACTAAATAATGTATTGGTGTTTCACGTGTGATCTTTGTAAAACGTTGAGTTTGATCACAAGCACCTGGTCGAATGAGACCATCGGTAAAATCATGATAAGCATTGACAGCTTCGATTCCATGATCAATTATTGTTGAATAATTATTGTTTCGATTTTCAGATTGGTAATTCTTCGAATGTTTTTCACCTCGTTGATATAATTCTTCTAATGAAACTGTGAGAAATTCATTTCGTTCGATTAATTGAGCATATGTTTGATGTAGAAGAAGGTAAAATTGTGTGAGATTATGAATCCATTTGGTCATTTTGAGAAAATCAGTTGAATCAAGAACGTGTCTTAACATATTCAAAGGTATTTCCGAATGAATTGGATTGTGCAATTCAGTTTTAAAATGTCGAAATTGAATTTCAATTGGCATTTTTGTGATAAAATCCTGAAGTTGTGCTTGAATTTGAGATTGTAAATCTAACTGATTGACAAAAGCTTTATGTTCAGCTAATTTTTGATGAATGAAATAAAAGACTTTATTCTGAAATTCTTCTTCAGCTTTCAATTGATCATCAATGGTTTGATAAACTGGTTTTATCCACGAATCTTCTTCTTGTTGCTGGTTCAATGTTAAAAATGCCATTTGTTCAAAACAACGATTTAACAGAATAGATGCATCATTAGAATTCGAATGAGTTGATAAGAAATTAAATGTTGATAATAATCTTGCTCGAACAAAATGACAAACTTTTGTTCGTTGATCATTTCCTGCTAGACGATGAGCAGCTGTATTATCAGCAATTGCATGTGGAGCAAGAATTGGTCCATGTAAATTTTGTACGGATTCATTGTATAGTAATAAATGCCAAGCCAATGCACCAAATGTAGCGAAATAAGCAACATAAACTGCTGGAACATTTAATACACTAACACGTGTTCTATCGAAATATGCTAAATCACCATTTTGTGTGATGATGCAACCGCTATCATAATGAACACCATTGGCTTGAATTGTACTACGTGCTGTTGATCCAAAACCTAAAATAGAAAAGCAAAGTAGTGAAAGAAGATTTGTTTTTTGAATATACCAAAAGTATTTTGTAGAGTTAATGGTTGAAAGGTAAATGTCCATAGAAAGTTCTGTTTTCCACCTAAGAGAATCATTGCCAAAAGATTGACTAATGAATGACGAATAGGTAATTCATCCTCGTCTTTACAATCAACTCGAAATAAATGATTAAGAAAATTTTCTTCTTGATTTCTTGAATAACCAATCATATGTTGTTCAGGTTGTAATAAAGCACGAAATACTCGCAATTCTTCCGGTAAAGGTTCCAAAGTATTTTCAATAAATGGTAACAATGTATTGAGAGATGCTAATTGATTTGTACAATAATAATCATAATAAATATTTAACAATAACATCACTTTGATTTCTGTCAGATTAGGATTTTGTTGTAATTGAATCCAATCGGATAAAATATTCCATTGTTGATTATTGTTTATACAATTCGTAAGATTTGTTTTTAATTCATTGTAGATTTGATGAAATTGTGGAAAGATGGATGAAGTTTGATTGATTGAAAGAGTGAATTGGATTTGATGACATAATTGTAAATATTCATTTCGTTGTGTTGTTTGTTGAATTTGCAATAATTGGAATAGTGTATTTGCCCATTGACTATGGAATCGTTGAATACTTTCTGATTTCAGAAGATTGAGAAGATAATTCCATGATCGTTTGGAAATAATCGTTGATAAAAATAACTGAAGATTGTCGCTTAACTGCGTGACATCATTATTCAATGTTAAATATGAACTGATAGTTGCTCTAGTGATTCGATCGAGAGCTGCTTGATTATCCGCTGAAATGTTACTTTGGCATAATAGAACAGCAGTTAATTTTACAATGAAATAAATGTGTATTGGTTTGAAAATGTCTCGAGTAGTTCTCGAATATTGATTTGGTAATTTAGATTGAATAATCTTATTAACAAAGTTACAGGTTATTAGTTCATTATTGACAGATCGTTGAAGATGAAAGAAAAATAAGTCAAAGAGTGATTGTCGTTGTTCATCTGTTGAGATCATCGATGGATGAGAAGGTAAATGATAATTCTTTAGAACATCATCATGTTGATCAATACATTCAATAATCACTGGTAAAAGTATAATTCCGCGGTTCCAACAGGCTAGTTTGTCTCTTCCAGTTCGTTCAGACTCTCGCAGATAAAGATTTGCTAATTCATCGAATAGGAATTGTTTCATTGGTAATGATAATGGAAACGATGATTGATTTAAATCATGAAAAAGATCCTTAATTTCATCTTTACATGAATCTGTTGTAGATTTCAACATTAAAATAATCCATTGTTGGACATCGATCATCAATGTCGAATTGATAATGTGATGTTCGTCAAGATAGTTTTGAATTAATTCAATAATTTTCGGTATTAGTTTCAAATACATTGATTTCATAGCATGATGATGATTCTGATGGAGATTTTTTAATAGATGAGCAACGAGCTGTTTGGGTTGAGGTGTTTTATCGTTGAGAAAAATCAGATAAGCCAAATTCATGAAATCAATTTCATCCTTGATGTTAATAAGTTGTGTACGGGATAAAACTTTCTCGGATGGATAATATTTCGATATAAATGTATAAGCATGGATCCATTTTTCATCACTTTGTTGGTTGGTGGAACAGAGCTCACAGAGATATTTCCAAAGATAATCAAACATTGATCGGAATAATTTCTCGCGAACGTCAGATCGAGTTATATGGTCTTCATTATCGAATAGATCTTCATAGAACGATCGTGTTGAGTCGAGTTGATCGGTGATACGACAAGCTGAATACAGTGAAAATAGATCGTTTTGATCATATTCAAATGATGCGTAAACATGTGATAGAAGCCAAATGTATTTGTTTGGAGAATCTTCTAAGGATTGTCGATCATTATCATCGACAAGTAATAACCAACGTGAGACGAATTCGATGGTTTTTTCACATTGTTGAAGATTATCATCGAAATTCTTTTCAACGATTGTACAAAATGTTCGAACGAGATCATTCGAATAAGAATGAAGAATATGTTCATTGATAATTTCATTTAATACTTTATCATTTGCGATTGCTTTCATTAATTTATATCGAAAATGTTCAGCTGTGTCATTTTCATCATCATCATTAACATAGTGATAATTTGAAGTTGTAGTCGTCGGTGGGATTGCATAATAATCTCGACGAAGTTCATCCGCATTCTCATCTAAATATCAAATTCATAGTTAGTTTATCATAGATAAAAAAGCACAAACCTCTTTGTTGATTTTGTTTAAGAATAGTCATTAGTTTGATCTCATCAGCGTAGACTTTGATTCGTTGATGGAATAGATGATAAAGTGGAGTTTGTGGAATACAAGCATAATGAATATTTAATTGGATAAGACCTTGTGAAATCGAATCTTTATTTTCATCGTTTGAGAAAGATGCATAATCAATCAATTCTAACATTGAATGATAATCATTTTGATGTTGATTTGATAATATTGAAAGAGTATCTAAGCCATAGTCATTGATAATAAATTTGAAAACATTTGATGCAAAATTTGTGAATGATATTCGTGTTTGTGATTGAATTGAATCAACAAGACCATTGAAACATTTTCCACAAAGAATCTCTTTCGAAATTTGATAGATGAGATTATAAATTTTTTTCGATGAATCTTTTTGATTGGACACATGTTCGTGATAAATTCTCACGATATGTTTTTGTAATTGAATGGATCGATGAAGAATTTCTTTGAAACATTGAACACGTCGTAAGGTATTCGTTTGTGGTTGATAGAATTCATATGCTAATTTATCTTTGAACATTTCTCGAGATAATTCTTGGCGAGAAATTTGAATTCGTGAGCAGAAATCCCAAAGAGAATCTTCGAATAGAATGTTCAAATCACACAGAATATTATCAAATGATTCGTGTTGTTGCTTNACTGTCCTAGACCCTTCTCTCATTCAATCCACAATATCATCCGATATGTACAAGTCAATTTATTAATCAATCATTCATTTCATCGATATCCAATGTTAATATAAGCAATTACTACATGAGAGATTATCGTATTATTGCATCATCACAATTTCAGATTCTCGGATCACTCTGTCGTACGAGTCAACAAATGATATCTGATTCATTAAATGAACTCTTCTCTCAATATCTGACTACAAGTGAAGTTATATCCAATGAAATATTCAATGCTCAGCTGGATTATCTTGTCGAGCAGTTGGAATCTCAAAGTATTAATAATCAAAAACATACGAGTGATTTTCTCCAGTTAAGCATTTCTCACAATACGATTTTCTCGGCACTTCAAACAAATTACGCAACAGTATTTCAAGTTGAAAAATTCAGCGCTTACCTCGTTGCAAGCGCGTATTACTTCAATAATAAGACTTGCATTTGTAATATGAATCCCAATTGCAACGAGCAAGCGATTATTTACAGGCTGAAAAGTGTCGAAGCAGTCTACGATACTGCTGATGTTCAATATTTTGTTTCGTATTCTTTGAGTAAACTTCTAACTATTCCTGGTATACGAGTGGGATGTTTACCATATGACACATTACTTCAGTCAACTCTTGAATGTTTCTACAATGAATCATTTATAGAGCAAATTCAAAAATACATTCCTGCTTTTTCGTTGGTTTCACCACTTTCGCCATCCCACTTTTCACAAAATATAACAGTTAACGATCTTCTTAGCGAATTATTCATTGAATCGTGGAACGAAATGAGAAATTTCACAGCTTATTTTCATGTTTGTGTTCCGCAATCGTGTACCTATTCGTATGATCGAAGATTTAACTTTCTACATGTCATGGTCACATTGATTGGTATTTTTGGTGGTTTAAAAATGATTTTATATTTTTCTGCACCATTTATCGTCAAAGCCATTCGACAAATCGAAAAGAAGAAATGTTTCTCGAAGAAGTCAGATTCAATCGAAACTGAACCACATTCACAGCAAAGTAAGTTGTATGTCTTATATCCGATTCTCATCTACCTCTTGTCAAATAGATCTACGAGATCGTTTGGTGCATTTTATATCTCAAATCAAGATCAAACTCATGACGTTGGACCTTTTCCCGACGCTCGCCAATATTAAAGACGGAATTTATTCGACACGTGTTTGTCTTTTCTGTCTTATCATTGCAATGATTATTTTAATATTTTACACATCAATATCAATTCAAACTCGGAGTATCACTGTTTACCAACCATCATTAGATGAATATGACTATTTGTATGCTCAATATTCGTCAACATTAAAGTGTCCATGTTCTCGTCTCTCGGCGCCATATTCATTAATTATTCACCTAGAGCCCGAATATCATCAAGTATGTTCAAGTGATTTTATCAAAGATGATGTTTGGCTATTGTATTTCACTCAAATCAACGCTGTACTTCCAGCTTATGATTTTCGCGGCACAGGTTTAAGATTCTTTACTATCCTTCAAACACTTTGTCAAATGGCAAATGAAACAGTGAGAAATGAATTAAGTGCATTCAATGCCATAGAATTTGTTACTGCATATGTTCTATCAAGAAGTACATTTAACACTCAAATCTCAACTTTGATACGACAATTTCAACAGCAGACTGTGAATTCTTTTCTTGTCATGTTCCAATTACTCCGTACTGCAATTCAGATGAATCAATTTATGGTTGGCGGCAACACAAACGCTTACCTGCAGGTATTTAGCAAAATTAATGGGTCGATGTTTCGTTTTATACCAAATAGTGCACTTAGCCAGCAATGTTCATGTGGTGAAAATAGTTCCTGTTCGCGCTCTCAAGGTTTTTATTGCATTTCAAGTCAATGTAGATATAATTCATCAGCACCACCACGCCAAGTCATTCCTGGCCTTGTGCTGAGCTGTTTACCGGTTGATTCGCTTCTTTTGTCCACACTTCAATGGTTCAGAGCCGCTTTTCGCCTGAGACAAAATTGGAAAATGTTGTTTCCCAATTGTTTATTGAAGATTGGACGAACACAAGTAATTTCAGTTCGCATTATTCCCTTTTCTGAAAGAAAAGGTTATAGCCTTCTAAAATCGGTGGCTCAAAAGCTAAAAGTTTGTGAGTTTGTCCAATCCAATCAGGTTGCAGCTTTTTATAAACCAATAAAACCTTAGAGACGACCATGCGGAAATGATTCACCTGATGTAATCAAGGTCGAGGATCACGAATCCGGTATTAGTTTTTCCGTAAAAACTATCTGTCCTGTTTTTGCGACAATGGTTCACTTTTTTGCAAAAAGAAATTTTTACTATAAGGGTTGACTGAAGGGTAATCGGGGTCGAGGATCTCGAACCTGAGGTTTGCTTCTCGAAATTCTAATGAGCTAATTAACTAATTAAGCAATGAAAATTTTCTTCGCTGTCGAGTAAGGGTTGACCGAAGGGTAATTGAGGTCAAGGATCACGAATCCGAGGTCAGTGTTGCTTAATTAATTATTAATTTTTCATTAGCTAGCCACGACTTATTAACATCCATTGTCAGAGTAGACCGAAGGGTTTCTGACGTCGGGAAATTCGAAGTTGAGGGTGAATTTCGTCTTATTCGCTGAGCCTGGGCTTGTTCCTTCCTCTTTACCAAGGAGATGTTTTTCTTTATCTGTTCTGAAATCTTTTGTAGAAGATGGTGAGCTGAACGCTATTCACGGGCGTCATGTTTACAAAGATAGTAGATCAAGAACTTACACGAAAAGATCTAATGCATTGTACATGATGATGTTTCTAATTGAAGAAATCCGAAAAAGTGATATGAGCTTAGTATCATCTTTGCTTTGTAGGCTACATGCATCATCTCCTTTCATGGTAATTTAGTAGAAGTAGTTCACAAAGCGATATACCCGTCGGTGGGATTGCATCTTAGTAACTACAGACGCGTGGACTGTAGAAACAGTATTCTGAATACATGCAGCACTGTGAAAGATGTTCGTTTCGAAGCAAATCATACAATAAGATTTTCTTATCTAGTTTCTTTGGGTAGTCGAATGAACAGAAGATCATGACTGTCGAAGCGACAATAAAAGAAAACCCAATCGTTCAGTTTGAAAGTCGATCAAAGGCGAAAGGAATAACAGAGACAGCATGGCAACGGCTAGCCGTGAGTGACCGACCGGAAGGAGGTCGACGAACGACTAGGCGTTTACATGCTAGATTAATCCTAAAGTGTATGCTTAGAATAACCTTGTCAGGCTTTCGGTAATTTTGAAAGGGATTTGACGAATGGATATTCCTCAATGAAAATATTGGACAAGGTATCATTTTGTTGACAGGAGAGAAAAGAATCGGATTATCGCTGGAAGACACAAGAGAATGTTCAAACTTTTCAAGAAGTCTACTGTATATCATCCGTCTATGAGTGACTTAGTAAAGCATTTATGAAAATTTCCATGCGCGTGATGTGAAAGTAGAAAAACGGATGACAAAGGTCAATGGTTNAAGGATTACAACAGCCGGCCTTGTTAGAGGAAGCAAGACTGGTATTACACGGTTGACCGTCAGCGAGACAACTATCGGCCTTTACCAAAAAGCTCGTTCCAACCAGCATAAGTACAACAATTGAGGAGATCGCCATCATCATTGTCGACATAATTTATAACGTCAAATAGAGCGTAGACGAAACTAATGAATGGTATGACCATACAGTTCTCTTTTGACTTTTATATATACTAGTTGTCGACAAGGATTGTATATCTACTGCGCAGAAAGACAAAGAGCTATTCTGGCTCGCATAGAGGTAAAATGGTTTTTGTTTTTGTTTACATCATGAAGAGCGTCAATTATTCTTCGTACTATAATATAGACCTGCTCATACTTTTCTCAACCAAAAATAAACCTCAAATGCATTCTTACAATAAAAGCACTGTTTAACTCTTAAAATGGAATAGGTATACATACAGTGGGACAGTATAATGCAACGCTCTTTTGCTTTTCGTTTTGGAAAAATACATTCATAACAAAAGAAGAAAGAATCGACTATGTTTAGTTGGTGACCTATGCAAAGAGAGATATGATGTAACTAGTTATAAATAGGACCTTTTCTTTTATGACTCCAGATTGTACAGTATTGACTGTAAATCTACCTTTTAATCCGACATACAACGAATGCACTCATCCCCCCCCCCCCCACGTGGTATATTTGAGAAGCATTGTCCGAAGATTATTTTTCTCTTCGCTATACATCATAGACGTCAGCATCATATGATAAATCGTTTTCTCCATTGTCAAACTTGCACAAAGAGCAGGTCTATTTTGATTCATTGCTGTTGTTTCTAAACTTAGTTGTGGTTGTTTATGATGAAAGAATGACAAACAAATAAAACTTAATCGACGTTTCGAAGAATTCTCTCAATTCAATAATCAGATCTTCAACGACTTACAAAAGACAGAACAGAGGAGAAGTTATCATTTTGTGTTTTCATCGGAATTGATTTTATCTTGACTATACACTTCTTAGCTTTCAGTCTTTAAACACTGTAAAGATCACGAACGATACAGCGTTGGTTTGAGACTATTGATTAATTATCCAATGTCGTAGTACAAGTTGATTTTCTCTTTATCTTCGTTCTTACGATGAATCGATAATAGTATTTCGTATTCAGTCTCAGATATCGAAAACAAATTATGAATTTTTTCTTTGGAATATCTTGTATATTTAAAATCAAGGAAAAATCTCTAATCACATTCGATAAAGAATGAAAAAGATTGTCTAGACTTGTTTTCTTTTCAGTTCAAATGGAATTGTTTCAGGTCGCGATGGAAATAATTCATAAATATTTTCAATGGAAAATGTATCATCTATTTCTGACTCACCGTCGTCGGTTAAAGTGAATAATTGGTATATAGGGTAATCTTCTTGACATACACGAAAGTGATCTAATGCTTCTTTGATAATTACTTCTACTGATGTATCCAAAGAACAAGGTAATTCAATTATTCGTTGGCCAAATTTGATTGAAGAATGAATCGTTGCTTTGGGTTCCAGTTGTAATTCAATCTCCTTCATTTCAGAATCAATGTCATGTAAAGTGATATCCTCATCGTCGAGTATACAATCAGACTTCTTTAGTTCATAATATTTACCGTTCAAAGTAAAAAACTGACAAGCAATTGAGTGTAAACGTCCAACATTGATTGTTGACGAGCAATGAAACTGAATTGTTTGTTGATTTTCTTTATTCTGAATAGTAACCTTGATTGGTAAATTCTGATCGATTAAAGCAAATTCAATTGTCGAGTTTGATCGTGGAAATAAGAATAATTGTGTATCAATTGATGGAACAAAATCATTTGAATAAAGACAATAATGACGATCGATGTCAAGTTGATTTTCTTGATAAATATCGCGAATTTGAGCATAAATTGTAAACTTTTGGTGTATCGCATTTTGTTCGTCGTCTAAATCAAGTAACTGATTCGATTTTGATTTTTTAACTGATATGAAACACGTTTCGTTTTCTTTCACCAGAAGAAATTTTGTTTCGTGTAAATTTGAAAGTGTTTCGCAATCATCGATAATCTTCTTCGTGGAATTCGAGGCCAAATACTTATAAACATTCGCTGGAACATTATCTATCGATTGAAATATATGTTCCATCGTCACATTTCGACTTGGAAGAAGAAGAGAACTCGGCTCGGAGTTATCATATCGAAGGATTTGTATCATAATCGATATACGGAAATGAACAGGTCGATCTTCAGCTGATAAATAGGTCATTAAAGGTTGTCGAATATCTTCTTGAGAGAGAACTTGTTCATTTGTTTCGCCTAAGACAAGAACACAATCGTTTGGAGAAATATCAATTAGATTTAATCGTCGAAGAAGATTTTCATTGTTTAGTAAATGAGAAATTCTCGATGATTTTAATGTATTTATAGATACACTGTTATTCTCATAGGTGAATGTCACTTTGGTTGTACTGTTTCGACTGATTCCATCGATAATTGTTGGTTGTAGTTGTTCGATTGTGGAAGAAATGGATTGTTCATCATCAAGAATGATCTGTTGTTTCCTGTTAAGAAAAGCATATTCACTCGGGGGATCAGTGATATCCGCGAAATGTTTTAACCATTCATTGACATGATCCCAGTTTGCATCTGAATGAAACAAACCGATTCGTTCTTGATCTACTCAAATGAGCAAAGATAAAGTAAAAGAAGATGATTTGCATATGAAATTTACTTTGTTCTGTTCGTAGAGTGACTTGAGAAAGTGATTTCGCATTAAGATTGTCTTCAGTGACGATGATTGGAATTGTTTTTGCTTCAGGATTTTCCTGTAGTTTGTTTAAGTCAGCGACCATTCCATTTTCAATGGTTTTTCCTTGTTCATCAAAAAAGCAGAGATAAATTCCTTCGGACAAAGGTGTAATATTTTGATCGGCAACAAAACGATTGATTATGGCTGAAATTTCACCATCAGCTGTGCTAAAGTATTCAAATCGATTCTCTCGAAATTGAAATTGAATTGTAAACAGCGAATCTTTACGAATAATCCAATATTCTTGACAAATTTGTTGTGGTAATTGAACATCATCATTCATAAAATTCAGGAAAATCTTGTTTTTATCAATAATACCCAGTATATTCTCATCGTATTTCTCTTTCTTGAACAAATCACGTAGTTTTTGACATAGAATCTCGCTTCTCCATAAACTCAAAGTTGTCTTTCCATTCAGATCAGTTATTGTGAATTTCAATGGTTTTCTCAAATCTATCGCTGTCGGTTGTTCATTCTGACTGTGAATTTGTTCGAATAATGTCGATGTCGAAAGCGGCACTAATGCAATAGTCAATTCAAACAAAGAAGAATATTCAAACGTTTCTCCTGGAGGATTCGCCAAGGCTCTTGGAAGTGTCGGTTCAGATGGACGGTCAGGATTCCAAGGATCTAAATTCACTCCGGCAGATGGATCTGCAGAAGCAGGATCAGTTTCAGGCCATTCAGTCCATTCGGGATCAGTTGAAGCACATGATGTTTCCTCAGATTCTCCTGATTGATTAAGATATTCACGAAAACGATTCGGTTGTTGTTGTTCTTCAATCGAATCGTTGTTCATACTTTCATCCCATTGTTTGGCTTCTTTTTCTTCAATATTAACCGATCTTTCTTGTAGAATAGTTCTCATTCGAATGAGATGAATACAAAGTGCAACATAATTTTCACATTTGATACCAATGGGAACAAAATTCAGAAATGAATTTTCAATTGCTAACATACGACATGTTTCTTTCAATGAATCGGCCCATTGTCTTTGAAGGAAATATTCATTGTCTCTCAGATCGTTCAATAGTTCAGTAATTGTCTGGATAAACGATTTAATCTTCTCAACATTATCAAGACTAATCGTTGCTGCTTGTATCAATTCAGTCAATTCATTGTCAAATTCGATTGGAATCGGTGTTCGTAAGATTTGAGAAACATCAGTGAACAAATGTTGAAAATCACAAATTGAATTTGCATATAACTGACGAATATGATCGAAATAACATAATTGAAAGTCTTTGATTTCATTCTGATGAATTTGTTCGTAAAACTTCTTCTCATGATCAAATGTTTGAATAAATTCATAGAGATACATTTGAGAGACATTTTCTTGTTGATGATGCAATTTAATTGCAATTTGTNAAACAAACCGATTCGTTCTTGATCTACTCAAATGAGCAAAGATAAAGTAAAAGAAGATGATTTGCATATGAAATTTACTTTGTTCTGTTCGTAGAGTGACTTGAGAAAGTGATTTCGCGTTAAGATTGTCTTCAGTGACGATGATCAGGATTGTTTTTGCTTCAGGATTTTCCAGTTGTTTGTTTAAGTCAGTGACCATTCCATTTTCAATGGCTTTTCCTTGTTCATCAAAAAAGCAGAGATAAATTCCTTCGGACAAAGGTGTAATATTTTGATCAGCAACAAAACGATTGATTATGGCTGAAATCTCACCATCAGCTGTGCTAAAGTATTCAAATCGATTCTCTCGAAATTGAAATTGAACTGTCAACAGCGAATCTTTACGAATAATCCAATATTCTTGACAAATTTGTTTTGGTAATTGAATATCATCATTCAAAAAATTCAGGAAAATCTTGTTTTTATCAATAATAACCAGTATATTCTCATCGTATTTCTCTTTCTTGAACAAGTCACGTAGTTTTTGACATAGAATCTCGCTTCTCCATAAACTCACAGTCGTCTTTCCATTCAGATCAGTTATTGTGAATTTCAATGGTTTTCTCAAATCTGTCGCTGTTGGTTGCTCATTCTGACTGTGAATTTGTTCGAATAATGTCGATGTCGAAAGCGGCACTAATGCAATAGTCAATTCAAACAAAGAAGAATATTCAAGCGTTTCTCCTGGAGGATTCGCCATGGCTCTTGGAAGTGTCGGTTCAGATGGTCGGTCAGGATTCCAAGGATCTAAATTCACTCCGGTAGATGGATCTGCAGGAGTAGGATCAGTTTCAGGCCATTCAATCCATTCGGGATCAGTTGAAGCACATGGTGTTTCATCAGATTCTCCTGATAGATTAAGATATTCACGAAAACGATTTGGTTGTTGTTCAACCGAATTGATGTTCATACTTTCATCCCATTGTTTGGCTTCTTTTTCTTCAATATTAACCGATCTTTCTTGTAGAATAGTTCTCATTCGAATGAGATGAATACAAAGAGCGACATAATTTTCACATTTGATACCAATGGGAACAAAATTGAGAAAGGAATTTTCAATTGCTAAGATACGACATGTTTCTTTCAATGAATCGGCCCATTGTCTTTGAAGAAAATATTCATTGTCTCTCAGATCGTTCAATAATTCAGTAATTGTCTGGATAAACGATTTAATCTTCTCAACACTATCAAGACTAATCGTTGCTGCTTGTATCAATTCAGTCAATTCATTGTCAAATTCGAGTTCAATCGGTATTCGTAAGATTTGAGAAACATCAGTGAATAAATGCTGGAAATCATCGATTGAATTCGCATATAACTGACGGATATGATCGAAATAACATAATTGAAAGTCTTTGATTTCATTCTGATGAATTTGNTCCGAATGAATTGGATTGTGCAATTCAGTTTTAAAATGTCGAAATTGAATTTCAATTGGCATTTTTGTGATAAAATCCTGAAGTTGTGCTTGAATTTGAGATTGTAAATCTAACTGATTGATATAAGCTTTATGCTCAGCTAATTTTTGATGAATGAAATAAAAGACTTTATTCTGAAATTCTTCTTCAGCTTTCAATTGATCATTGATTGTTTGATAAACTGGTTTTATCCACGAATTTTCTGCTTGTTGATGGTTCAATGTTAAAAATGCCATCTGTTCGAAACAACGATTCAACAGAATAGATGCATCATTAGAATTCGAATGAGTTGATAAGAAATTAAATGTCGACAATAGTCTTGCTCGAACAAAATGGCAGACTTTTGTTCGTTGATCGTTTCCTGCCAGACGATGAGCAGCTGTGTTATCAGCAATCGCATGTGGAGCAAGAATTGGTCCATGTAAGTTTTGTACGGATTCATTGAATAGTAATAAATGCCAAGCCAACGCACCAAATGTGGCGAAATAAGCAACATAAACTGCAGGAACATTTAATACACTAACACGTGTTCTATCGAAATATGTCAAATCACCATTTTGTGTGATGATGCAACCGCAATCATAATGAACACCATTGGCTTGAATTGTACTACGTGCTGTTGATCCAAAACCTAAAATGGAGAAGCAAAGTAGTGAAGGAAGATTTGTTTTTTGAATATACCAAAAGTGTTTTGTAGGGTTAATGGTTGAAAGGTAAATGTCCAGAGAAAGTTCTGTTTTCCACCTAAGAGAATCATTGCCAAAAGATTGACTAATGAATGACGAATAGGTAATTCATCCTCGTCTTTACAATCAATTCGAAATAAATGATTAAGGAAGTTGTCTTCTTGATTTCTTGAATAACCGATCATATGTTGTTCAGGTTGTAATAAAGCACGAAATACTCGCAATTCTTCCGGTAAAGGCTCCAAGGTATTTTCAATAAATGGTAACAATGTATTGAGAGATGCTAATTGATTTGTGCAATAATAATCATAATAGATATTTAACAATAACATCACTTTGAT